CCCCAAAACCCCAAAACCCCAAAACCCCAAAACCCCAAAACCCCATGGATGTAAATTTTTTCAAAATCAAATGATTTTTGCTTGATTAATCAATGCAATAATTGTATAAATAAAATGGAGTTGCCTCGAATTAAAATGCAAAATGACAAGACAGAGAGGTAGATACTAATAATCAACTCTCTCCAACAGGAAAGAGATAATTTCTCACTTTATCAGAATTAGAAGTTATCTTAATCTTATTTGCATAATGCTTAGCACTTAGAGGATTCTGCTCATTCTATTCTAGACCCTAAAAGAGAGAGAGATAACTTATTCAAAGGCAAAAGTGTATTTCTTGAATACCTCATGCTCATGAATCCTAGAGATCAGAGAATGCTTAAAGAAAAAGATAGTAAAGAGAGATTTTAATAATTACCATTGATAAAAGCAAAATATTAGTAGTTAAGAGAACTTAGTCCTCCTCAGCTTTTTAGTAGCGATTCAAAGGAGAGTCTTACAAGAAAAAAAGAAAAGAAATCTGTAAGTCCTTATGATTGAAATCAATCAATGGATGGAAGTCCAAACTCTTTTCATAAAAAATAAACCTTATTTCACTAGCCTAAAATTAATTTCTAGGCTTTAACAACGTAATAGCAAGCAAGATAATTAGAATAAAACAGAGAACTTATTAAACACAAGATAAAGCATTTGATTACTGTTGCTCATGATTAATTGTAATTGCAGTAGGATAGCATAGATAACTTAAAGGTTGGAGGTCGTAAAATAAATCTGAGAGGACCAATAACATATAATCTGAAAACAAGATCAAGATAAGATGAATATATTCATGATCTCTATTCGAATAGACAGGAAAGAGGGAAATACAAGAAATCAAGAAGAAGATATGGCGTCCAATAAACTTGTAAAGAAATCACGAAAACAGTTTCTAAGTTAGAATAACAGTTACAGATAGGAGTTTAGCAGTTCATAATTATCCGATACTAAAATAGATATTAGTTTGGATGAATATCTAGTTTAAAATGAAATAATAAAGGAGCTTCCTTAGGCTCCGCCAAAAAAATAATAAAAACCTAGATAAGATATAAATAAATCTCAAAGCCCAAATAATTTTAAAACTCTGGAGTTTACACCCTAACATGATAGATCTCGATTATATGAAAGTCCTCAACCTAGTTATTCACATCAATTGCAATCTCAGTAATTTTAATAGAATCACTAACACCTATCATTTCAACAAAATACACAACCTTAACCTTAATAAAATTAGTAATATGCAAATTACAAAATGCCTAATTTCGTAAATTAAAATTATGAAAATATATCATAAAGAATGTTAAATAAGCGAAAAACTGAATTGAATAACAAGCAGTAGATAGATAAGTACTTTGACATGCTTAACTTCAACAATCACATATCAACTTAATTTGAGGATATTAAAATGAAAATGATTGATATAAAAGAAAGATAACATCGACAAATGAAAGTAAGAAAGACTGTTAAGTTCGATGAAAATTGAATTTTTATCTCTAAACTTGATTTAATATAGTATGGTTAAAACTGTTTAATAATAAAAAATTATGCTCTTTTAATTATATAGAAGAGTTTATTATCTAAAACAACATAAATTTCTAATGTTCTTGTATAGGGGTTTTGGGGTTTTGGGGTTTTGGGG